GAGCTTAATTGTGTAAACATCTTTCTTTGAGAGGTTTCTTGTTTACAATATTTTTATCCTTTTGTAAAAGGGGTTTGGTTCTATCTTAGCCATTGAAAAGATAGGGAAATTGTAAAGATTACTCTTGAGCATAGACAAAGAAAGAACAAATTAGTGAATTTGTTAGAAATCCTTAGTGAGCTAAGGTAGTGGATGTAGACTTCATTGAGGAAGTTAAACCACTATAAATAATTTTGCAAATCTTTCCTATATTTTCTCCTTATTTCCCAAAAACTTCAGAAAGCCAATTCACCTCGTCTTGGCACATTTCTGATTGATCTCTTCAGCTTCTTAAATCCCAATAATTGGTATCAGAGGGGGTCACAAATCGACGATTTAACAACCTTCTAAAGATCCTTGAAGCTTTTTATCAACTTCCCGAAGCAACCGAAATGATGACTTCCACATCCGGCGAATACTACCTTGAGGATTCTCACTCCATCCATAGGCCACCTTACTTTAATGGAGCAAATTATTCCTATTGAAAGAATAAGATGATGTTGTTCATACAATCCATCGATCTTGATGTTTTGGATGCCATCGTCGACAATTTTCCCGTACCTCTAAGAAATCGAGGGGAATGGACAAGTGAAGATAAGAAGCTTGCCCAACTCAATGCCAGAGCCATGCACATCCTCTTTTTGTGTTCTTGGCTCAGACGAAAATAGTAGAGTATTTTCATGCTCTAATACTAAAGAGATTTGGGAAAAATTAGAGGTGAACCATGAAGGAACAAACCAAGTGAAGAAGTTCAAGATTGGCATTCTCACTCTCAATTATGAGAACTTCAAGATGAAGCCAGATGAAGACATCAAGACAATGTCCAATGGGTTTACCACTATCATCAATGACTTGAAGAGCTTTGGAAAGGTCTACCCCCAATGAAGATATAGTGAGAATGATGTTTGCCTCATTACATACATCTTGGGAAGGCAAAGCCAATGCCATTGAAGAAGCCAAGGACTTGGAGTTATACACCCTCGATGAGCTCATCAGTTCTTTACTCACTCATAAGGTGAAACTCCAAAGAAAGAAGACGAAGAAAAGAAGAACAAGAAAAAGAATGAGGTGGGAACCGCCTTCAAATCCACCAATAAGAGTAATCAAAACTCAAGTGAAGAGGTGGATGAAGAGGAAGATGAAGAAATGGCCAAATTCTTCAAGAGATTCACAAAGTTCATGACTTTCAAAGGAAAAGAAGTAAAACATGAATCAAGCAAGAATAAGAGCCCCCCCCAGTGTCCTTTAAGTGCCAAAGGATGGGACATGTCAAGTATGAATATCCTCTCTTAAAGAAGAATGGACCATGCAAAAAGAAGTCGTTTGTGGTGGCTTAGAGTGATAAAGACAACTCCGATGATAAAGTAGCCAATCTATGCCTTATGGTCATTCAAGAAGATTCAATGGTAACTTCTAACTCTTGTGATTTAAATTCTTATTCATTTAAAGAGTTACAAGATGTCTATGATGAGTTGTATTTGGAATTTGAAACCATGAATTCCAAATATAAGAAATTAATTTCAAAATTGAAAATTGAAAATGATTTGATTTTAAAAGCACATTTTGATTTTGAGCTTTCAAAAACCAAAAGCAATGATTTAGAAAAAGAAAGGTTTGATTTGAAAGTTAAACTTGAAAGACTAACAAAAGAAAAAGAATTAATTTCTCAAAACAATTCATTATATTCAAAAATAAAAAAATGTTCACATTGTCATTTTCATGGTCACATGGAACATACTAGTCATTTAAAGAAAGAAAAAACATTTTAAAATTAGACAAGTATGAGTTCTAAAGGGAACAAGGGGCATTGAAACTAATATTCAATTATCCAAAGCAATTTGGATACCAAAATCCAAATAAATGTCTCTTGTAGGTGTGTGTAAACAATGGTAACAAAAGTGAAGATATTCAAATACTCTAGCCACACTTGAAAAGGAATGAGTAACCTCTACACTTAAATGTTTTTTAATTTTGTATAATTGGTTGCCTATTTGTTTTATGCATACAATGATTATGTATGTTAAAATGTATTATGATGAATATTTTTAAAGTTTTAATATTTTTCATAAGTTTTAGTTCATCATAATGATTTGTGGTCAAATATATTTTAATGTCTTGGTTTTACAAACTTGGATTGTTGACCTTAAATTTAAATATCCATGCAAGTGATTTATAGCAAATGATATATCTCTAACAATTGATATTAATTTTTCAAATTCATAACATTTTAGGATATCTTTATGCATGTAAACTTTAATATTTATGTCAATATTGCATAAAGTATAATAGACTTAGATTTATTGAATTTCATGTATTACTAACATATTTGTTCATCTTTATTGAAATTCAATAGTTATTAGTGTCAATATTTTTAAAGTTGATTTTTTGGAATGTTTTTTTTGAGGGGGAGCCTTTTGATTTTTCAAATGAATTTTAAGTTAAAAATCTCTACTTGTAACATCCTCAATACCGGGTTAGTGATTAAATTGTAAAGTTTCAAAATTTGGTGATAAAAGTAGAATAGTTAAATAGTTTAATGATTTATTGGAAATATAGTTGAAGGTTGTTTGGTATTTATTGAATGAATTAAAGGGTAAAATGGTCAATTGACAAGTAAGATTTTTATTTCCCTTTATAAGATAAGGGAACCACGTGGAAGAGGAGAGATTTCTCCAGAGTTTTCTTCTCTCCTTTCTTCTTCTTCTTCACGTGAAGCCATAAGCAAAGGTAAGATCTCTTGTTGGTTGATATTTAACTGAATTTAAGATGGGGTTTTGATCATTAGATGATAACTAAGCTTAAGGAAAGCTTAATTTATCTTAAAATCAAAAGATAAAGGAGTTAAGGAAGATTAAAGATTTGGAGTTCTTGAGTGAAATAATGAAATAGAGTTTATAATAAGAATTGAAAGTTGAATTTGACTTGTCATCAATAAGAATAAGAGATTTACGAAGTTAGAAATGATTAATAACAAAGTTGAAAGTTTAGTAAGATTCTTAAATTTTAAGAATCATGATGAGATATGGAAGATAAATATGGTTTATATGGATATAAGTTGGTTTAAGTAATGGTAGTTGAGTTTAATGACATGATAGAGGCTTAAAATAGAAGAATTGAGTGAAAAGTTGATGGTTTTCGGGAAAAAATACAAATTATGGGCAAGGTGTATCGATGCACTCTTTAAAGAAGAAACATCAAATATAATTAGTGCATCGATGCACCCCCTTAAAATGAAAACATCGAAGGTGATTGGTGTATCGATGCATGGGTAGTGCATCGATGCACATGTTAAAGGATGCACGATACATTGTAGAATGTATCGATGCACTTCAATGGGAAATGAAATAAATCTTTCTTTCATTCTAAGAAATGATAGATTAAAGTATATCAATTGGATAATGATAAGTATTAGTACATGATTATGTAGATATCGAGCACGAACAAGTTCCAGGACGACTATCAAGTTAAGATTCGATCGAAAGAAAGAAAATCATAAAAGTGGATTAGAACTTAGTGAGGCCCAGGTGAGTGCATATTAGTTAGTCTATGGTGCTAAATGGAAACAAGATTTGCGACAAGTCTATTTCTTATATTAGAATGCATGAATATATGATTATGAGTATATGAATGACATGAATTGTATGTACACATGATTATATGTGTTAACATGCTTTTGAATATAATGATATAAGAAGTATGTGCTATATGACTGCATGAAAAAGATATGAGCCATATGATATGATATATGTGAACATGAGAAAACAAGGTATAAGATATGAACTATGTAGATAATAAAGATTTAAGTAATAACAATAGAAAGTGGTATACACTTGGTGGTATAAATACCCAGAATTATATGTACATGTAATATAGGTTAGGTAATGAGGAATTATGGGTCTATATGACTAAGAGAAGATAATAATTTTAACCTTGAATCGAGATAATATAATAAAATTCAATTTGATTAAGTTAGTTTTAACCTTTAATTAATTTAATTAAACTTTTAACCTTAAATCTTAATAATTTTATACTTAATTCCTTGAACTAAAACTTGATTTGGCTCATAAATAATCATATTCAATGAGGAGCATAGGATTTTATGTTAAGAGAGCGAACTTGAACTTATAAAATTTTAGTGAGCGAACTTAAAATTATAAAATTTTAATGGGACAAAAACATATTTTTAATAAAAATGCATAGAAAAACTTAAATTTTGAGGAGGCGACTACCCCTCCCGCTCTGCCTAGGTCCATCCCTGACCATATTGACAAAGGGCTAGATTGTTGGCTAGCTGGTATGTGCAGCCCTTAGTCGCTTTGCTCGGTTGCTGGTCGCTAAGTCAACCTTGAAATCTAAGTTTGGTTGCTTAACTTGTCACGAAAGTAAGAACAAAAAGAATTTGAACGGAAATAAGAGATGCAATAGAGTATTTGGCTTGAAAGTCGGGTTAGCCTTATTTCCAAGAGAATGAATGAATGAATACAATGGGGGTGGAGAGACTCCCTTTTATAATGAGAATCTCTTAAAAGTTGATGACTAAGTCTACTTCTAATCTAACTAAAAGTGCATCTCTACTTTAATTAAAAGTCTACTTAAACAAAGATGGTGGCTTTGTCCCTTTTCTTAAAGAGGGCTAGTCTTGGCTTGGAGAGGGCCCAAGTCATGGTGAGCTCAGCCTTATATGATTCTAGCGCGGGTTTTGCATATCGGGCAGACTTGGCTCGCCGCCTGATGCGTCTGGGTCTGAGAGTGCTTTGGTGCGCGCGGATGTGCGCAAGTGGATGTTTGACTTACCCTCATGGTCGCGGTCCGTGACAATATCATCTTACTCTACTCTTAAATAAAATGATCAAGTTTAAATTGCGTATTTTATGTTAATTTATAATTTATAAGATATAAATTCAATTATATATATATTTTTTAAAAATAAATATAATTTGAGTTCAGATCATTTCGAGTCACTTCAAATTTGGGCCATTTTAAGTACAAGTTGGACTAATTTAGTTGGTCTAAATAAATCAATGTTAACTACAAAATGTGTGTACAGATTTCATGAGAAGAAATCTCACCTCTCTGATAAAAGGTTGCTGATCTTCCGAAGCTCTTTGAGGGCTGTCACGGCTGTAACTTGTCCTTTGCCAACTAGATTGTTTCTCGACGAGTTGTCCGACGATCCCACTTGAACTTGATCTTGCTGGAAAACAGACTCAAGAACCTGCAAATGAAAACAAGGTGATTTAAAAACACATTCGAGGACGTAACTCGACAATCACGAAGCTCTAAACAATTGGAAAGACCGAAATATTACCTGAATGTGCTCAAGCATCGACTGGCCCAGATTCTTCAGCGTCCCCATTACATTCTGGTCCACTACATCTCTTTGGCTGGTGGGAGACGAATTACGAGAAGCACCGGCTGTAGATGAGTCTGCTGTACTGCTCTTGCTATCACGGTTTGCAGATTTCGCGGTCTCGTTGATAACTCCTTTAACAGATGCCTCCTGACTGGCATTGTTCCATCCAAACTTCAAAAGCCATTGAAATCTACTTGGAAGATGCCTTCTTTCCTTTGAGGCTGGGACCATCTTCCCTGAAGATTCATTCTCGTGCGGATAATTTAAAAGGACGTCATCAGGAGGAGAGGAAACTGGCAGAGGCGAATCTTCCAGGCTACTCTGGTGGCGATCATCATTATCATCTGAAGATAAAGTCGATGAGACGCTACTTTTTTCTGTGTCGTTTTCATGGTCATTACTGCTACTACAAGAACTTGCAGGGTCGGAAAAAATAGAGGAGTTTTCTTCACTGACAGAAGCTCCACTTCCACTCTCGCATCTTTCTTCAGCTGTGCGAATAGTCTCTATGCTTGTATCATTTTGCCTCTCCACCTGAACTTCTATGGAATGACGATCGTCTAAATTGCAAGCATCGAAACAGTCTCCCGCTTCGGTATCTTCCTCCAAGCCAAGTTGCTGAGACAAATCTTCAAGCAAACTACGCCTAACAGATGAACTATGGCCCTTTTTGTATTTTTCTGCTCTTGCTGGTGAAGGGTCGGATTCAGTTCTAGATAGCACCGGCTTTACTTTTTCAGACCATCTCCTTTTCCCAATGGAAGCATGTTTACCTAAACTATCTTGCCTTAGCTCCTCTGCCTTATTCAGGACTGTCCACTTTTCTTCCCAGTAGCTGTCGGGAACCAGAGATAGAGTTTTCAGAGAAACTGAATCCGATGAAAGATTGCGACTGCTCGCAGCAGATTTGCAACGGTTATATGCCACATCGAATGTAAGTAATGAGGATGAGATTTTGAATTCCAGTGCAAGAATTTGCAGTGACTTCGCCTTCCCTATAAGTTTCTTTAGATTTATATTCTCTGGAAAATTCAAGAGTCTCTGAAGACAAGTTGTCGCATTTTCAGTGGCAAGCAGGGAAGACCTCACAAAAAGTATCATAGAGACTGCCATGCCAGCAATTAATGCTCCACGATGCGAATCGAGTAATTTAAAACTGGAAATCTCTTCATTTTCAGAAACTTTATCAAGTGGACTATTATCTGCTGTTAAGATCTCGTCCCATACAACTAAGAGATCATGAAGTGAAAACTCCCGTCCAAATAAAACTCGCAACCAGCGAAGTGCAAAATACTGGGGTTCAACACCAAGCTCAACAAGATGGCTATGTAGAGAAGAATCAACCACGGACAGCAAATGGTATAATGCAGCTGAGGCTTCAATGACAGGAGGCAAGCCACCATGAGACTGCAAAGCAGGAAAGGGAGCAAAAAAATCTGCCACAGCAACTGATCCATGTGCCCCGCTCATAAGAGCCTCGAACATACAGTAGGCATCATGTTCCATAAATTTATCAGACAAGACAATACCAAGTTCACCTTCAGCTCCATAAGCATCAGTTAGCAATATGATGGTCTGTATCTCGGGATCAAGCTCATCAACACTCCCAACTTTCTTTGAATTACCTTGAGATCCAACCTCATCGTTCATGGAATCTAGAAACTTCTTAAAATCAAAATTGTATGTGACATCATTTTCTTCAAATAACAATCCATCAAATTTGTCAATGAAATGGTCTTTATGTATCTTTCGTACTTCTGAAAGACGCTCAACATCAACATGAAGAACATACAGCAAAGGTGCCAGGAGTTCATGCATTCCTACAAATAAGTAGGAAAGAGAATTAGATAACGTGTCAGGTCGATGCCTCACACAGTAACATAGCAAGAATTACTAGTTAGTTGACTTGGGATATTGTGAGCCAATTTGCAATGGCTTTTTAATTGCATGCTTCAGAATGAAATTTACATTATCAGGTCCAAATAGCTTTCACCTAATGCAGCGGTTGAAAATCTTGAAAACATTCAATAATTCAGGTTGCAAAACGTTTCTGGTTTGGTTTTCCAAAATCTATAACGTGATAGAATCGAAACTAATAAATAAGCATGCATAGTGATTAAGAAGGAAAGAAAAACCTTGTCTATAACCAAACTCTGGATGGCTAAGGCACCACAGCAACAATATTCGTCTCAACATTCCCTGGCATCCAAGAGCCTGGAAGTAGCTTCCATGTTCCGGATATAATCTCGATAAATCCTGGTCAACCATTTTTTCCAGTTCAGCATTCCGAAAGAATCGACCCCAGGAGCTGTCTGCATGAAGAATTAGACATCATTTCAAAAAAAGATTTAGAAAAAGTATGGACCCTAAAATATGATGCAAACATGTTAAACTTCTCATAGAAGAATACTCTAGACATATTTGACAATCAAATTTCCATTGACAAAGATGAGTTACAAGTCTTGGCATCAAAACCAACCAACCAGGATGGGGTGGAAAAGGAGGCAAAGAGAATTAGCTCCACACAAGTTCAACATGAATCATGATAAGATGGCAAGGAAAATATAGCAGTAGCCAGTACTAATTAAAACAAAATCAGATGAACAAACAATGCAATTGGCACAGTGCCCACCGTAAAATCTGAAAGTTATTTACTCATTTTATTGATAGTGTCCATCTTGAAATTATATTTGTGACCGTCCATATAAAAAATTTGTGTTGTTAATATACACGTGTTCACCTTCAAAACGATTTCCGAAAACGTCGCCGATTATGGCAATTACCTGGGTTTTGTGAGAGTGGATTGTCCATGACAAGATCAGGGGAATTACTTCCTCCATTCTTGGGAACATGCGGATCCAGTAGCAGCCGCCTCCTCAACTCAGCATATCTAGATAACAATAAAGTCAGACATTTGAACCCATAACCGTTAGTTTTTAGTTCCAAAAAACGTGAAGAAATAACAAAAACCAATCAATTGCAAGTTAATGATTTTTTTTTTTTGCAGAATTGGACAATCAAAACACAAGTTTATCATTACCTTCGGCGAGAATCAGCAGTTTCCCTGCGAAGATCATCAAGCGAAGGAGAAGGAGGTAAAACACCCAGATTAAGACGCCATCGGACGCTTCTCAGAGAACCAAGGGTACGATTCTCCGCCGAAACAACACCGGTCAACGACGGCGCTTCTTCGTTTACAATCTCTTTGCTCATTTGGCAATGGACCCGAATTTTCCAAATACTTGACTTTAAAGACGACTTTGTTTTTCCCTTTTAAGAAAACAATCTAATACAGAGGAGCAAACAAGTAAAACAAAAAGAGAATGAGTTGCGTTCGGGATTCGATTTGGTAGACCAAATTTATTGCCAATAGCAGGAGATATGGAGTTGTTTTCTTTTACCAAACTTCCCACCTTTTTCTTATTCTTTTATTTAATCTCTCTCTCTCTCTCTCTCTCTCTCTCACACAGCCACAAAAGGAGAAGAATGATTCAAAGAAAAAACAATAGAATAACATGTTCGTTTCTATTAACAAACGAAAACAAAAGGTAAACTATAAAATTGCGGACTTTTATTTTATAAATGTTTTTGTAGTTATAAGAATAATATTTATTTATAATTTTTTAGTAGACAATCTATGAGTATTATTAATTTAATTTATAAAAATTTAAATTTTAAAATATTTAATATATAATTATAAATTAATTAAAAAATAAAGGTAAATAACTTAAAATAAAAGGTAAATTATATCAATAACTACATAACTATTGTCCCTTTTTATTTTGATCACTATTTTTTGAAATTTTGTTAATTAGATCACTCAACTATTTAAATGTATTCAATTAAGCCACTTGAGATTAATATTTAGTAGAGAAGTTGATATGATAGTTAAAATATTTGGTATAATTCCACATTTGATCATTGTTATTTATATATTTTATCAATTTAGTCTTAATTTTAATAAATTAAAATGAATTTTACTCTCAAATCGAATGGCATCTTTCAAAGTTTATTCAGTATCGCGTTATAAATTAAAAATGACCATCACAATGATAACATCACTGGAAAATAAACCTCAATCAACCAAAATTATTATACATATAATTAATGTTTTCCGATAACAAAAATTTGCACCAGATTATTACTTCATTTATATCATGTTGATATTTCATTTATTCGTTTAATTGATTTATACGTTTTCAAACTTAATTTAATATTTTAAAATTTACTTTAATTTTCTACTCCCCAGTTCTCGAGGCATTTGCCAAGAACTGTCGCATCTACTATCGTCGTGTTTGTGCGGGAAGTTTTACCGTGAGTCAATTTTAATATACGATTAAAAAATTTTACTATTGATTTTATTATTTTTTTAACAAAATCGATAAAATATCACCTAAAATATTATTATTTATACTTAAAACATTAATTTTTTTAATATTTCTGGTAAAGTGCTCAATAATAACAAAATCAGTAAAACAATAACAAAATCGGTAGCGCTTTACTAGATATGTTAACAAAACCGGTAAAGCGTTATCCGGTAAAGCGTCTAATAATAATAAAATCGATAGAAATAATAATATTTTCGATAACTTTTTTACCGATTTTATTAAAAAATAACAAAACCAATAACACTTTTCCTTAATAATATATTAAGGTTATCTTACGCGTCATTTTCCCTGTTTGTGCTTCTTAGACCATGAGGAGTGTTGGGTGAGCAGTATCTCCAATCAACACTATATTGTCCCAATAAATTTGCCTTAGACGATCACAATTATATATATGGTATTTAAGGGTGCGTTTGGTTCACGGAATGTAAGATTATCAGTGGGAATAAAAGATTATCAGAGAATAGGATTACTAGGAATATTGTATTTTGTGTTTGGTTGGTTTAGCAGGAATGTAAGATTACCGTGTTTGGTTAAAGGAATAAAAGATTATTGGAATGTATATTTGACCAAATTGTCCTTATTATATATTTGTATAATATTACAAATTGTAAAATATTTATATATTTTCTTTAAAAAATTAAATTCATAATATTTATATAATTTTTTTTACAAAATTAAAAATATAAAAAAGTTTTAATGAAAGGGTAAAAAAAATTTAACCCCTGAACTTCATATAAAATTTTAATTATAGAATTTTTTTGTAAATCTAAAATAATTTAAGGATAAATTTGTAATTTAACATTCGTAGAATTTTTATTATTCAATGACAGAAGAATGATATTTTTGAAAAAAAATTAAGGGCATTTTAGTCCAAAACGCCGGTAATGTTACAATACCTAAGGGAAGGGAGGTAATGACATTCCCGGTAATATACCCAAAAAAATCTACTATTGGTAATAAAACATTACCGGGAATGAGATTCCCGGCCAACCAAACATGGGAATGTGAGATTCCCATCCCATGAAAATCTCACAATGCTTGAACCAAACACCCCCTAAGGGTCTTTTGTCTCCTTCATGACTTTTACGAGCTCCGGAACCCAAGTTTTCTCGGCTTCTTTGATAAAAAAAATTAAATTATAATTCCTATTAATTGTTTTATAATATTTTGAATAAATTTATTGAAACATTTTTAGATTCCAAAATCAATAAGTTATGTATTTCAATTAGCCACACAAATGGAATCAAAGAAGTTTACACGTTGATGGTAAGTTCCATGACACATGACACCATTTGATTTGAGGGTTAAATTTATTTTTAATTTATTAAAATTAAGACCAAATTGATAGAATATATAAGTAACAGTGACCAAATATATAATTATATCAAATATTTTAACTGTCAAAATAGTTGAGTGACCAAACATGTTGTTAAATATTAACGGCAAGTGACTTAATTAAACGTATCTTTTTAAATAGTTGAGTGATCTGATTAACATAATTTCAAAAAAGATGGTTAAAATGAAAAGAGACAGTAGTTAGGTGACAACTGATATAGTTTACCATTTTTTAAAATTATTTTCCTTTAAATTTTTAACTAATTTATAATTATACGTTGAACCCTTTTATTATTGACTATGTATATATTTTATTTACATAATTACTCTAATTTAAAAAAGAAAATAGCATCCTTTAATTATGAGAGTCTAAAATCATTCAATAAATTTAATATTTTTATTTTATTCTTAAATTTAAGAGAAAAATAATAATATTTTACTCACTTACAATATTTATTTTTAACATTTTTAATTGGACAGTCACTCGATTACTTTCTCATTTTTAACTCATTTACACCAATATTCCTCATGACGGAACATTCCATAGAAAAAACCTTCCATCAAAACTAACCTCCACTGCTAATAGGGTCGATTATATGGTAAACAGTATGATATTATTAAAGTATATCATTTTTTTCTGTTTTTGTATATGTAAAAATTTTCATTGAGAGACTCATCCATTAAAATTATATATACGATACAAATTGATTTGAATTAATCAAGACGAAACTCTGACAGAACAATAAAAATGATAAACTATAAATTTAATACCTAAAATATCATTTTTGTTTTATTTTAAGACATAAACTTTTAATTTTTTAAAAATTGTATATAAAGTTTATCTTTTGTTTCATTTTAGTATCTGTGTCGTTAAAAATTTAAGTGTTAAAATGAAACAAAAAGTTAACAACGAGTTATTAAAATGAAATAAAAAATTAACGATAAATATTAAAATGAAATAAAAAATTAACGTAACATATTATTTTGAAAAAATTAAAAATTACGTATTAAAACAAAACAATAGTAATAGTTTAAGTACCAAAGATTTAAAACTCTCAATAAATATTGGTTGAGCAAAAGAAAACGAGAAAAGAAGAATCAGAAAGGGGAGAGACGAAGGAACAGTAGCAAGACCTTAGATTCAATAAAGGACTGAGCTGAAGCATTCGCGGTAGTGAAGGATCAATCGGAACAATGGAGAAGCTCGTGGCGTCGATGAGTAGTTATGGTTCCACTCCAATGACAATCTGTTGGTGAACTATGATTAAGAGGAAGAAAACCTGAAACATCGGCTTGATTTTCGTGACATTTACTGTCTCTTCGGATCAAAGCGAAAGAGAGAAACGAGAGTACGAGACTATACTGTTGGTACTTTCGATTACCGGAAAACGCCATCAAACCACGCGATTAATGGCGGTGACGGTGGAATGCGTCTAATGTTAACTTTTAAGAAGATGATAAAATGAAATGAATTTAGGATGCGGGTTAGTCGCATAAAAGATCATTGCCGATGATAATATATTGATGAATTTTTTTGACAAAAAAATATTATTGAGTGGTTTAGGATGAAAAATATTTGATTCATATTCGACTGGATTCAATCCAATTTTTTATCTTATATATATTTAGGAATAATTAGAATAATATCATTTTATAAATATATCAATTAAATCATTGTTTTTATTTATTAAGGGAAGAAATGAAAAGAGTAGGGAGAATGTTAGACTATAGCATACTGTGTACATGCATGTATTATAGCATGGCTTTGGCAATCAGTTAGTTTAGGCGCCAAATATTGTTAGTCGGTTAAGTGGTTGATAGCTTGACTCTAGCTATAAAGCTAGTATGATTGTAAATGCAACACACGTGAATTCAATACATTTCTTTCATATACAGTTTCTTAATATGGTATCTTTCGCCATTGATCTTGGGGTTTCTTGAAAAACTCTTGCTGCGCATTCTTCCTTGGTGTTTCAATGGAGTCGTCCATAAGCACGAGCTTCTCTCACAAGAAAATCAGCGTTGTTCTTGATGAGATGAACTACCTTCTGTGGAAGCAACAAATTCTGCTCACGGTAAGGAGTCACCGTCTTGAGCGCTTGTTGACCGGAGCTCTACAATCACCACCGGAGACGATTCTTGATGATACCGATGCGATTCGTGTCAATGATGCATTTGAGGATTTTGTTGCGCAGGATAGTGCGCTTGCTTCGTGGCTCCTATCAACCATTAGCTCTCATCTTCTTCCTCATTTTGTTGGTGCCGAATCTGCAGCTGCAGTGTGGAGTATTGTGCACCAGCTCTTTGCGAGCAGATCCACGACGGCTGCTACGAGTTTGCACTGCAAGTTGCAGTCGCTTAGGAAGGGAAATGATAGCATGCGATTGTATCTCACTCTTGTAAAAGAGGTATGTGACGCACTTGCCTCGTGTGGTAGTGCAGTTTCGCATGTTGGACATGTTGCCAGTATCTTGAAAGGATTGCCCAGGGAGTATCAACCGTTTATGGCGGT